CCCCAAAACCCCAAAACCCCAAAACCCCGTTAGCTTAGAATACGATGAAGAAAGTTAAATACACAAGTAACATTATTTATATTTCACTGATCTATTCTTGCTATTAAATCTTCAGACTCCCAAGAAACCACCAATCTTATTTCTCTTGGAAGCTGAGTTGTTAAAGAATTAAGTCACAAAGTAAACTTGAAGTCCACAAACCAGCAGCATTAGCAGCAGTTTGATCACTGATAGCCAATTGAATGTTGAAATGACTGATTTCGATGCTATAATAGAAGTATTAGAGGATCTTATTTCAAGTCAAAGTGACTTTGCTTACCCCTTTATAGTTCCTCGTCTTACTCACTCTTGTAGTAAATGTTAGAAGAGACTACCCTGAATTATTGCAAGGTTTCTTTGATTTTATGCATTTGCTCGTCTATGTGATTGATTGTTACGTGTCCTGACGACTGCAAAAACTCCTGGTCTTCCACCACTGCATGGAAATCTATGGTTTTAGAGTGATAGTCTAATGATTAGAAGCACAACTCAAGTCTTCTATTGGATTGGAACTTGAAGCTCTACTTTAATTCTCTCATTCGCAAGAAATTCTCCTCTCCTGATCCTGATTTTACCTATAATAGTTTTGTTCAATATGCTTATCAATATATTGAATATTATGAGTTTAAGTAGAAACATGAAAAGAAGGAATGCTAGCTTACATGCAGATTTATATCATGATCGCCACGCCCAAAAACTACGTATTGGAAGTTAAGGTATTTATCCTGGTTTCCATGGAAAATCATGCATCTTTTTTCTTAATCCTGGACTGTTATACCCATTGCATTGGCAGTGGAGAGGCAGATCAATAATCCAATTAAAACTAAGGATAATCTGCAAGAATGATTTTTATTCTGAGAGTTCTTGCTGAAACGATATTGAGACATTAAATATTTTATAATTTTGAAATTTAAAATACATTTATCGCTATAATCATTGCTACCAGGGGTTTTGGGGTTTTGGGGTTTTGGGGTTTTGGGG